GCCTTACGCTCGCCTGTATGCTTCGCTCCTACGTGTGTAATAGAAGGCAAAGCTCCAAGTTTACCATCGATTTCACCGTTGGAAATACTTTCCGGCGTAGCGTTTACGGATATTTCTTTCTATGGCGCAGATATTCCTTGATAGAGAACTCGCCTCGCTTTATTTATATGATTCTCTTAGGCTCCAGTTAATAAGTATGCTGCATTATAACTGGGGATTTGTGGATAGTGCATTAACAAATCGGTGGCATACACGCAATAGAATTGAGTATGAGAGGCAACTAATAAGGCTGATACCTACGCGTCTGTAACGACATTACCTAGCTAGCTTCTAATAATTTCGTCAGACGCTGCACATGCATAGCTTACTGACAGTGGATTTTTCGCAGCTATCGAAAGGATTTATTAAGATCGCAGGCGCGCTTCTCCCACAGAATTCTCATCTCTGAAGCACGTAGCCGGACATCTGGACGCAGTTTCGGATTATAAGTGAGGCTCATCAATGTGCCGCGTGCAGTGTGAAATGCGGTGTATAATGCAGGGAACGTATTATGGTGGCTATGTCGAATGAGAGCGATTTTAAGTCGCAGGGACAAGCGGTCCGCCGGTCAACACACTGTCTTATAGGCGCATGTAATCGATCAGAGAGATAAAACTCTATTGCTATGGCTCTTGTAAAAGACGGTACGACGGCCGCCTGCCACATTAGCAAATATTCTAGAATTTATATATTGTTTCTCAGGCATAAAATGCGGGTTTGCGCGATGCGCAGTAATGCCCTAAATAAGCTGATATTATTGATTCAAAAACGAATTTTAAGCTGGAGCGGGGGTAACCCGTGTAGCCGGCCGTGTGTAATATTTAAGTTATGGGGATAAAACTCATTGCTATGCTCTTTGTAAAAAGAACGGTAGCAACGCCCTAGGCCTTGCAGGTACACCGGACATTGTGTTTCTGGCAGAATCTTAGCTCAGATTCAGCATGTACGTGTATATATTCGCGGCAAAACTCGTCATTTTAACAGATATGGGCACATGCAACCCAGGATATGGCCGTCTGCCACCTTAGCAAATATTATAGGATTTTATCTATGTTCCACAAGGCTAAAATGCGCATCCGCGCATGCGTAGTAAATCACTAAATAACGGATATGTTGATTCAAAAACGTATTTAAAAGCTGGAGGCGGGGATACCCGTGTGTAGAGTATTGTGATAAACGTCTATTGCTATCTGCCTTGTAGAAAGATGGTAACGCGCCCTACAAGCTATGTTAACACTAGGTACCTATATCCAACACGATCCCCCAATGCGAGCACCGAAGGGGATCGTGTTGGATATAGGTACCTGTGAGCTTGTACGGTACACCGGACATTGTGTTTCTGGCAGCATTCTCTCAGATACATGTACGTGTATATGTAACGCGCTCACGACCGAAGCGGCCCATTAAATCTGTCTGCAGAACATTTTTCCGTTTGAGCGTGCATATGGTGCGTGGGTTTCAGCATATTAGCTAAAAGTCATGTAAAACATTAGGGTGCGTGGGTTTCACACGCATATTAAAAGATGGTTGAACACAAGACGCGAGCATGAACATAACGGCTGTGATTTTAATGTACAACGTCTTTAATTGAATTGACCAATCTAACACGATTATACAAGTACACAATAAAATCTGCTAATGGTGAAGTATAGTAAAACAGTTGCACTGAACAATGGAATCGATCATCGTGGTTCAAGTATCTGACTGCAAGTTCACATAGGCCTAGTCAGGTCCCTTAATTAGTGCAAAATATGGGCCGAATCGTTACAGGAGTGACAAAAGTCTCAAACTTGGCACCGTTGTAGCTTATGGCAGTACTATAATTGTATTAGAGGGGGCCAAAATGCAGATATTTGCCTTAAAAGTGAATTACGGGAAGTTATTAAATGTTCGAACCAACCCGACTTCGAACCCCTCTACGCGCCCCGCCTGTATATATTCAATACAATCATGTACCAGCATAAAATGATGGCCAGTACACACAGCAAACAGAGAGTAGCAATATTCAAGCAGAGATATCTAAGCAAGAGATGTGCCTAAGGTATCTAGAATTTTAGAATGTAACTCAAGATCTTTCGCAGAGATATTAGAGTATACACTATCCTACCTACGGACCATAGCGCGCGTATATATTACCTAAATGAGCGATACCGTCGTAATATTTCTGGTATTAATTAAACCTATTTCTGCTTTAATAAACTATAAAGATCTAAAAATGGTATTGGGAGTAACATTGAGTGGCGACCGTAGCGTAAATTTTTTTTTATCCGGATAGTACTCTATATCCTAAATCCTACTAGCTGTCACATTACATAAAGACTCGCGCCGTAGTATATCTCTTTACCAGTTAGCGACAACCATTTTAATTTGATACGGATCAGGAGTGAATAATAATAGTCTATTAATAATAATCTATTATTATTAACTCCTGATTGGATGTACCATGTAGACGCATCAGTGTCAGGGTTGTGTGACATAAAGAGTTCGATCAATGGACACTAGCCGTTCAGACAGTTTCATTTCGGGTTCCATCGACCGTGGCCACCGTAGACGCGTTGGTTGTCCCTCCTACAAACTTCTTCCGCTGAATGCCCAGAATACGATAGTAGGCGTTGCGAAACCGCGAGTTGGTGATTCCGTATAGAATGAAGTTTATCCCGCTACTGGTCGAGTGTGCTATCTGCAGAGAGAGCGCGTGCCATTCCATCGGCCAAGCATTTCCGAACACGACCGTGATGCCGTACATTCCCCAGAAGATGAAAAATACGAAGCAGGTGACGAAAAGCGTTTTGGCCAGTTTTAGTTCGTCGCGCGTCCGCTGCTGCGACATTAGCGCGTCGGGCGCGCTAGCCGCGATACGCCGCCGAGAATTGCGCACGAAAAAATAGATCCGCGTGTAGCAGAAGATGACGATGAAGAGAGGAATTACGATGGAGAGAATAGCGAAGAATGCCGTGTAGGAAACATCGTAGGTGCGATCATAAAGGCAGGCCAATCCCTTGAGGTCGTACTTGTTGTTACCCCAGCCAAAGTGCGTAAGAATTTCGATCAGTATGCTAGCAATCCATATCAGACCGCAGTAGACGAACGTGGATGGCCAAGTGAAAATGGTGTTGTAGATCGCGGTGTGGCACATGACGACGTACCTGTAATAGAATTCGTAATCATCATAACAATAGTAATGATGAGATTGACGAGGAAAACAATGATGATCTGAAAATGAATGACATGTACAGGCATGACAAAATGGATTTCGGCTTTTTTCCCGATCCCAGAATTGTTTCCGCGTTTTCCGTTTTTTCCGAGTTCACGTGCAGCATTATACCACGGGCATATGTACTGGCGCACGGTTTATCGATCGTCTACTGCGGCTGGCAGCAAGCCACCTTGAGCCCGGCGCGCGTGTATTTTTTTCCTAGTAGTGCAGCGGCCGAGACCCCAAAAATTAAGTGCACCCCTACCGGAGGTATAACAA